TGCACATGAGGTCAGAATCCAGCAGGGGCTGCTTCAGTCCCATGGGAAACAGTGGTATATGTTACTCTGGGGCCAACACCAGAACACCCTGAGAACGAGACAACTACCAGTTTTTGGCCAAAGCTACCAGGCCACGCTGCTTCTGGATTCACAGATGGAGGCAAGTAGCATGCCTGTGTGTGGGAGAGACAGAGATAGCTGATTTTTACGACTTTGTGTCCACTTGATGTAGCATGGTTGCCACGGGTGACATCAGAGCTCTGGAGAAGCGTGTGCACACACACAAGCTTGGCTGCTGAGGTAGAGTTGGCCCTGCGGGGTCCTCTGGCAGTGGGGCTCCTGCTTTTCTCACACGCCATCAGGTTCCCCTGCATGCAGTGTGTGTCCATGGAACCCAGGGTGACGCTCTTTCCTGAGCAGGCACCTTGGGCTTTCCCACATTTTCTGCGTGATTCTTTTTTTTTTTTTTTGCTTAGTGTTGCCCCTAAGGAAATGTGTGCTCTGTGTCCTGCCTGTTGGAGCTCTGTACCAGGCAGTCCCTGACTTGGGGGCGTGTGCAGTACTTGGGTACGGTGCTGGCATTCAGGCCATTCTGGATTCTTTTTGAAGTATACTTCACCCCATTTTCAACTGCACTTTTAAAATATTAAATAGACACGTTTTGCTTGTCACTTGAAACTGGTTTGGTTTCTTTTATGTTGTATTAATTTATTTATTAAATATTGATGAGTATCTACTGTGTATTAGGCCCATTCCAGGAAGCTGAGGAGGTGGCTTTTATTTTAGTAGGGAGATAAAAGCAGAGCATGGAAACAAGCATAATAGGTAGTAAGTGAATGGTGGGTGCTCTAGGGAAAGGACGGGACTTGGGTTCATTTTGCAAGGTGGGAGGATTTATGAGGCTTCTGCCCAGGCCCAACAGGAATCATAGTACGGACCTTGAGCCCTGAGCAGTGTCTCTCTTGTGAGGAGACCACTGTGTTCAGGCTGGGAAGGGTGGAAATGAGGTCAGAGAAGTAGGCCAGGAGAGAAATTTGATCCTCAAGAGCCCCACAGGGACCGTGGTGTCTCTCGAAGGAGAGCACAGTCGTGGAGAGGCTTGAGCACAGGCCCGGATTCGGAGCCAGGAGCTGGCAAGGGTGGAGGCAGTTCAGGGAAGCTGGGCGGAAGTGGTGCATGGTGAGTGGGAGAGCACGGGTTGGTTTGTGATGGGCCCAGGTACAGGAGCAGGGGTCCTTGGCCACTCCAGGGTCTGATCAGTGTGGTTGGGGCGGGACAGGCCAGGACTGAGATGTGCGTGGTGAGGGAAGTAGCCTGTTTAAAAGAAGGGTTGCCCTTTCGTTAGCTGGAGGCTGTGGCAGCTGACTGCAGGAAGCAGAACGGTACCAGAACTGAAAAGGCATTTGTTTCAGCAAGTCATCCCTTCCTTATCAATACACATATGGTCTTTTGGATGTAATTGGTGTGGGAATGGAACTGGAAGTGACTGCTTTACCATTTCTGAAATGAAGTTACTAGTTCTAGTGCTTACTATCTGTAGTTTTTAACTTTGTTTACCTGTGTTTGAACAGGACAAGGTGTAGTCTTGGAGCGTTCCATCTACAGTGACTTTGTCTTCCTGGAGGCGATGTACAAACAGGGCTACATCCGGAAGCAGTGTGAGTTGTGTTGTGGATGGGCCAGGCAGTGGATGTGCTGTGCAGCTTTCATGTTTGAGGAAGGGTAGTTGCCTCACTTGGCGCTTTTCTCCTCCAAGCTTGTGCTTTAGGGACCTGTCACCTAGAGGTCAAATCCTGGTATGTTAGCTTCTCTGAGCTGAGCACTTTCCTGGGACTGTGTACAGACGCAGTGGTGGGCAGCAGCGCAGTCCACGTGACCTGCTGTGAGCCCCTGCCCTGCTACGTGCATGAGCTCTGTAGCCGTGATCTGTGTTCCACCAGCGGCTTCTGTTCCACCTCTTATGTAGTGATTGCAGTTTGGTTCAATAGAACTGCAGGAAGTTTTGCCTTCTCTTTTGGGAGGAGCATAAGCGAGAATCCTATCTGGGTCAGATGACAATGGTGTCCCTTGTTGTAGGTGTGGACCACTACAATGAGGTGAAGAAACTCACCATCTCCGAGTACTTGCCTCCCCACGTGGTGGTCTACATCGACATGCCTGTGCCGGAGATCCAGCAGCGGATCCAGAAGAAGGGTGACGTAAGTTGGCTTTTATGTCAAGGAACACAGCTTTCTTTTGTATGTCCTTGGTATTTTTAGCATAGATCCACACTTCCAAGTCATGCGAGACTCTGATTTCTGACAGTCTTCATGAAGGTGAAGCGGATCCCAGGTGAGAGAGAGAGTGAGTGGTCCACCTGGAGGCCCAAGGCTCAGCCTGCCACTGTCTCTTGGGAGGAGCTGCAGACCCATTGCTGTCCTGAGCTGCCCCTGGGAGGAGAGGGAGGCCTCCTGACCATCTCCTTTGTGGTGGGTGGTTCTCTTCTGGCCTGTCTTCTGAAGATGAAAAGCAGTTTGAACCCTTCACTTGCTGCTGGAAGCCAGCCTCTTCCCTGCTCTCAGCCTCTACAGTGGACAGTATAGCATTAGTCTTCCCATGTCCTGCCCCCTGTCCTTCGGGGGCACAGACTTTCGAGGGTGGCACAGGCTACTCTAGGCAGGTGGCCAGTACAGAAGTCAGCCCAGCCTGTGCTGCCCTATCCTTGCCCACAGTATGCAAGGCTGGTGGAGATTGGCATAGATACTGCTGGCCTCGGGGCTGACTCAGGTTCCATGCTACAGAGCTGTCCTGGAGGAAACACAATCTTTTTGGCCTTGTGGTGCGGATGCAGGCTGCCTGTTGGTCCATTTAGTGCCGTCCTCAATGCTCAGGTGCGAGGTAGCACTGTTAAATGGCAGGCTCCACCGTCCTTTGCTGCTCCTCACGGCCTTGTGAGATCCAACTCTCTCATCTCAGTGCAAGCAGGTCTGAGATGTGCATTGTCTCTTTGAGCCTGTCTAGTACCTCGTAGTTAAGGGTTTGTTCTTAAGTGTGGTGAGTAATTCAGGCTCTCAGGAACGTTTCATCATGTGAGAAAAGGAAACCGTGAGTTTAAAATGTTTATTTTCCAGTAGAGCAATTTTCCACACCTTTATATTTAGCACTGATATTTACTGATAAAACTAAAGGCATAGATGTTGAATTTCCTATATAACTATTTTGCTAACGAAACTTGAAAACCAGTTCTGAGGCTCAAATCTCAGCTGTCCAGTCTTTCTCCCAAGTAAAGTCTTAGATGAATACTGTCAATAGCTAGAAGTGAGCTGTGGAAGACTGGAGACATTTTACTGAGGAGAAAGTGTATTATCACACAGTAAGTGTGTGTTCCCTCTGTTACTTCTCTTCCAGTCCATCCTGCCTCAGTGTGCAGCCTCTGGGAATAATTGATAGGAATACCTGAAAATCACTTCTGAACTTGTAAGGCAAGGATAGAGTTACTGCTACTGAAGATTTGATCTAGTCTCTGCGGGTCCAATTTCTGTGATGGTTGTGTTGAGAATGCCCTGGGGTCCTCTTGCGATCCATCTGCTTGTGCTCTTCCTTGGACCCTGTCACCCTTTATAACCACCACTGAGCCCCACTAGTGCTGTGCACCTCCACGCACTGCTGGCTGGGCATGGGGTCATGCACCCATGTCTCCCCTGAACCTAGTCCTTGTTGGAAATGCAGCAGCTCCCGATCCTGTGATCCTGCTGTTTTTTTCTGAGGGCGTGGTCCCCTTGGGTGACAGCAGGTGAAAGTGCCATCGCTGAGTCTTCCAGTCCCTGTGTCTGGTCTTGATGCTGGGATTTGGGATTGCAGGCACTCAGGAAATACTCTGCCAACAGGAGGTGAGGCTTTTTGTTTGTCTTGAACAGCTTTTCTGAGTAACTTATACCTCATTAAACTCATCCCGTTAAAGGGTACAACTCAATGATGTTGCAGTTTACCATATTGCAATAGCTACTATGACAAGGCAGTTTGAGAATCTCATCGTTTTGTAAGTAAAACAGCTGGCCTAGTCCTAACCCTGCCCTGACACCAGGTGCTAGGGCCGAGTGTGGGGCAGGGTGGGAGAGCTCCTCACTCCAGGAGCTGATGCTCTCTAGAAGAGCTGAAGTGAGCAGGACATAAAGAAATGGTATGCATCAGTTAGAGGCTCATGTCACAAAGAAGATTAGCCAGGACGAAAAGTTAATGCCACTTAGCCTTTGGCGTTGCTAAGCTGGAACATGTTTTACATACTAAAACTTGCCATTCATAATTGGATTTTAAATTTTCTGACTTTGGCTTAGCACACTGTTAGAACCGAGGACAAGGTAGAGAAGTGGAAGGGAGGAGAAATGAGGGAGGGTCTGCAGCGAAGAGGAGGAAGCCGAGAGCAGATGAGAGCAGGTGAGGCAGGCCATTCCTCCCATGTCTGTGATCTTTCTTTGCCTGCACTTGGCCAGGCACAACAGGAAGGACAGGCAGCGGTGCCTTGCAAAGGAGGTACCTGTCCATCCGTGCTCTGGTGTGCCTGGGGTCCCTGGAAGAAGGAGGTGCTGTGGCTAACCTGGCCAGCTGGGACATTCACCATCCTTTGACTCATTCCAGCTGGTGCTGAGGGTCACATCTCACCCCAAAGTCCCCGCGGCACTCAGCCCATCAGAAGAAAGCAGTGTCTGCATTTTGCATGTGAACAGGTAAAAAGTTTAAATGTCTCCCAGTTTGATCTTTGTGCTTGTGTTTAGCGACACGAAATGAAGGTCACCTCTGCCTATCTCCAGGACATTGAGGACGCCTACAAGAGGACCTTCCTCCCTGAGATGAGGTGAGCACAGGTGATTTATGCACCAGGGCTCCTTGGCAAGCAGGTTGTTTCTCTCTTAGTGTCGTGGGTGTCGAAAATGAGGATGATAGCAATATTTCAGTTCAATTTTTACAGTTTTTTGGTTTGCTCATTTCTCAGTTCGGTTTTGATATAGCCTTAAAGTTTCTTTGTGTACCAGACATAAACCTAAGCTCT